GCAGGGAACCGAACTACCTGAGGGATCCTGGATCTTGCTCTTTGTCCGGGGCCTTCTGTGACAGACACCTTGGCACAACTAAAAAGAGCCCGGACCCTGCTGTGCAGGGGGCCACCTACCTGCGGGCAGGCTGCAGTCCTGTTCCGAGAGGACTTGCGATGAGCGGCCTTCCGCGCGACGCGCTGGGAGACCTCGGGCGGGCTTGCTTGTGGGTTTCTCAGACAGCCCCAGGAGGACACATTGTTCTAGGAGGGTTCTCTGTGCGTCCAGCATTTATTCCCTGTGCCCCTTGCAAGTTGTCCTTCCTTTGCATCCCCAGCTGGCTCCTTCTAGGTGGCTCTAGTTTGCCCCTTTTTCATAGCTCCAGTTAGGCTGGCGTACATCTGGTACCCTACTCCTGCTGTCCCTCTCGGAAGCAGCTGAATTTTGTTCGTCTAAGCAAAATGTTCAGTAAATTTTCTATTGAATCCTCCCTCGTGTGCGCGCGCGCGCGCGTGTGTGTGTGTGTGTGTGCGTGTGTGCTGAAATAATCAAGGATGATGCATTTCTTGAATAAATGTGCCACCTGGAATAGAATAATTTCCACCTTGAGTTCTATAATATCAGTCTTTACTATCTTACCTATAGAAGCACAAGTGCAAAATAGGCTGGCAAGAAGTTACTTTTATTGCAAAGTTAATCTTACTGAGCTTCTATTAGAAATGCTACTTTTAGGATGAATTGATTCTTCTTTTCTGTTTCCTTTCCTCAGCCATAATGTTCTGGTTGTATTTTTTTTTTGTATTTTGTACAGGGTCTACTGTGTAGCTGGCACTTGTAGCGATCCTCCTGTTTTTAGCCTCTCCAGCGCTGGGATTACAGGTGCTTGCCACCAGGCCTGGACTTTGTTGCCGGCTCAGTGTGCCAGGAGGTGGGCGCAGCGCGGCGTGTGGTGCCAGGGATCAAACCCCAGGCCCTGCGCTTGTCTAAGCCGACACTTAGTCCGCTGAGCTATCTCGCCGGCCCTGTGGTTGGACGTTTTAACTAGAGTTGTTCTAGCAGTGCTCCTACTTGGCCTTAAGTGCATATCTTCAGAAGCGTGGAGGAACATTGTTAATGCTGTGACCCCACTGATCACGCTGAAAACCTTCCGTAGGTGATCAGTGGATAGTGCCAAGGGCAGGAGGGCAGTTTCTGATCTGTGTTTCAAAGCTTTCCATATCCTTCTTTCTGTGTAATTTTTGCCTTTGCTCATTATTCTCTTTAGCACAGCTTGTAATTAAAGGTGATTAGTGTGTTTTGTTTGGTGGAAGAATTCTAAATTCAGTGGATGTTGTATATGTATGTACACCGGCTCGCGGATGGTGATGACAGGTGAACTATCAGAAGCGCTGGAAGATACAAAAGTGTGTCTCTGGGTCCTACATTAAAGCCCCGTCCCTGCCCTTCTCACCCATGCAGCAATGTGTACCTGGAGATGCGGTCCATTTCAAATAAGCTGTGGAAGTACAACCGCTACCGCTACACCATGACCTACCACGAGAAGCCCTGGCTGCCGCCGCCCTTCATCGCGCTGTGCCACCTGGGCCTCCTCCTCCGCTGGCTGTGCTGTCGCCGTGGCCCGCGGGATCGGGACGAGGGGGATGTGGGCCTGAGTGAGTGCTCCCGAGGGGGGGAGAGGGGCAGAGCTGGGGCCAGGGCTCTGGGCCCTGGAAATCCAGTTGGGGACACAGGGTGGAGCCCGTGAGAGTTCATGGCTCATGCGCTGGGCCTACGCAAATGCACTGACCCTTTGCCAACCTCCGCCATATTTCATGAGCCTGGAGCAGGGAGGAAAATCCCTGCCCCTCTGCTGCAGTGTGTAAAGGCTTTAGCTCTCCTGAGACCTCCTGTTTTGTCGCTGACCTGGGAGCTCACACCCACTGCTCCAAGTGCCTGGTGCCTTCCTGTGAAGGAGGAGGGGACAGGAGAAAGGGGGTTCTCAAGGCCCTGGAGCTTGCAAAAGGCTATTTATCCTTTTTATTGCTTCCGATGGGAAATACATTGGTGTTGTTGCCCTGGCCTGAACCAAACAATTTATTTTTCACGTACTATATTACATTTCTAAAATTAGAAAATTTCTATCCTGAAATATTCCTGATTCTATCAGTTTCTGATACCATAAAGAAGGGAAGGCTATTCACACACTTGGGGGTCCTTAGGGCCTAGGTCACCCATCCTGTGCCATATGAGATTGAGCGTGTATTACTTTTGTGTGCAGTAGTTGGCCCTGTGCTGTGCTCCCCCCTTGAGTCACTTTGAGACACCTTTCTATTTCTTCCCAAGACACGTAGCTTGTATAAGGAGGCCAAAGCATAGCTCAAGTTAACTTAAAGGCTTATGATTACCCTATAAATTTTAGGCTTGCATAGAGAGCCTACCTGCATGAGCTGCAGACCCACTGAGACCTAACTGAAGAGGGAGCCACTCAGGAAAACCTGGGAGTGGCTAGAATTTACTCAAATTTCCTAGCACTATATGAAAGAATCTTTCCGGGGATCATTTTTACCTGGGCTTCTGGAATGTTTTCAAATAAAAGTTTATGACATTTCCTGGATCTTTGTGTCAGAGGCATTTACAAGCAGGGTAGCAGCGCCACCTGGTGGATAGTTTCAGGAAAAAACCACACACTACTCCATGCAGACTTGAGGCAGTGGTTTCAGGCTGGAGAGTCATCGGTGGCAGCAGCCATCAAGCCTGGTGCTGTGGGGAGACTGAACTTAACAGTATCAGAAAAATTCCTCCTCATCGTACAAGTCAGAAAACTTTGCGTGTTTCACTGAAGCCAGATATTACTTTCCTCGAGCTATACTTTTCCATTGCTTAGTGGAAGATAATGAGACATTTGCACTTAAAATAAATGCTGTAGCGATGTGACCATTGTTTTCCTCCTAACTGAAGTGAAACCATTCATCAAAGAGAACTTTCCCATTTTATCCTTTTAGCAACATTATTATTATTTTTTATATTTTCCAAGTATTAGGAACTGGCTTAAAATATGTTTGAGGAAGAATTTTAGGAACCTCAAAATACAACAAAATGATTCATCTTTCCAGGAGTTAATTATATCAGAGAAGTTATACAGCTTTGATTGGTCATTAGCTGGTAACAGTAACAACTTTTATTTCACAGGAGGGTTTATGAGCTCAGTGTCACAAGGTAAAACTTCTTTATACTTACTGGATTAACTTCAGTAGAGACTTCCTTCTTTTAAACTCAATTTTTACCTATCAATCACTAATTTTTATTTTCAAAAAAAAAGGGATTCTTCCCCATTTACATATAAATATCATGAATTTTTGTTGATGTTTGAAAACATTGTAAACTATGAAAATTTTTTCTTTTCAATTTTTTTATTGAACATTATATCTTTAAAAACTTACATTAACATATAGAGAACTAATTTAAGGAATATAGGACTTACAAAAATATTGGAGATAGCTGTGAAACTGTCTCATTCATATTCATTTCTCAATTTAAAAAAATTAAAAAAAATATTGGAGAGAAAATATCTATTGTCTATATGAACCATTTGTAGGTGACAAATAGGAGAGACCCAGCCTGATTTTCTAGCTGTTCTATGCTTCACTTCTGCAGGAATAAAGCATGACAAATGCAAGCCTCTTATTGCATGAGCTCTGGCTTATCATTTTTAATACAGGGCTGGACTCACGTTGCTGTGCTAAAATACCTGAGGCTAGGTACTTTGGAAAGAAAATAGGTTAGAGTTGACCTTTGCACATCATTTGAACTGTGAGGATCTGTCTGTCGTCAGGTAGTTCCTTTAGAAATAGCTGGACAGTGAGGAGTATTCTAGGTCCTTCTTGCCTCAAACAAAGAGCTGGGTGAGATGAGCCAGAAATGGTGTCAAAAGTTTATTTGGAAAGTGAGGGGTGGAAGACTAAGGGAGAAACTAGCTGTGCAGAGCAAACTTGGGCTGCATGAGAGAGAAAAGGACAAAAAGAGAAAAAATAAAGGTACACCCTGAGTCTAGGAGACGTGAAGTGAATTATCGCGAGCACTCAGGAGAGCACGTTTCCTCCCGGCCACTGCCTGCTCATATGCTGTCCGCATCTCGTGGGAGCCCACGAGAAATTCCACATCCGGGCTCCTGGGAATTATTTGGCGCTGGGGTAGGCTTTGGCATTGACAGGTCCCGCTGATTTCTCCAGCCAGATTTGTCACGCTCTCTAACACATCTGTATCACATCTATTTGCAGACTTTTTTTTTTTTTTGAGATGCAACAATTTGAAAAAGACATGAAGACTGATTGTAGTACCTAGAAATAACATTAATGAAAAGCTAGATCTATCGCGAATGCATAAAATATATGTAGTTAAAAGTATATTTTATCCTTTAACCCGATAAAATATACACAAGACTATGCGAAAAAGTTAAAATATATCAGAAGTGTGCAAACCCAGACCGTACTTGTTCCCTTTGGGAAGTACCGCAGCCATCATGGTGCCCTTGGAAGTTGAGAGAAACGTAGACGTGTGAGTGCTGAGCTGGACTGCTGCTGCCTAAGGCTGACTGCAGGGGGCGCTGTCCTGCTGTGCTACTGTCCTGGCCACCTGCTTTTGGACTGTGGGGAGCCCCACTGGCGTGACCATTTGCTTCAAATGCTTATGTCGCCGATTCTCATAGGTGTGGTCCAACTCTCCAGTAAATTTCTTGTCATAGTAAAAAGGGTGGTCTCTCATTGTTCTTATATATTTTTTCACCCTGGATACATGCCTCCTGTAAAAGGTGCTCATCAACTCTTTATGTTATCTGGAAGGCCCTGGTCAACAAGAAGCCAAGCTCCCATTGGATCTTTCGAGATTCACGTTGTTGCATCTCAAAAAAAAAAAAAAAAAAAAATGTCTGCAAATAGATGTGATATAGATATTGGAATCAAATGTTAAATTCAACTTTTTGACCTCATGGGCCTTGGCTCCTCTGACCTTCACGTTGTTCAAGGGTCATCTGCGTTTTGCTCACAGTTTAGGAGGCTGAAAGTGCAAGTTTGGGCAGCTCTGTCCAGTTGGCTTCTAGTCAGGGTCTTCTGGTTGCTTCCTAATGGCAGACAGCATGGGTGGGCAGGTGCTGACATAGACAGGAAGCGAGAGAGCCGGAGGTGTGGGGCCTGCTCCCGTGCAGGCCTTCGAGAGCTGCCTCAGTCCCTCCCAGCACGGTGCGCTGGGATCGAGAGGCCTCACCACTGTGTCTCCTAGTACTGGACCCAGGCTTCCAGCCCTGGACCTTTTGGGGAAATACTCAAAGCGTGTCTGATCTGTAGGATACCCTGAATCTGCTTGTTGTTAAGCTAAAAAGCCTGATTTTTCATATGTATAAAACTTCCTTCCCCAGAACTCTACTTGAGTACAGAAGATCTGAAAAAACTTCATGATTTTGAAGAGCAATGCGTAGAAAAATACTTCCATGAGAAGACGGAACGTCTGCATTGTAGTTTTGAGGAACGAGTCCGAGCAACATCTGAAAGGTAAAAAATACGATCCTGTAAACAAGTCCCCAAACTGCTACTGCTAAAAGCTGACTGCACTCTAGGACATCTAATAGAGTAGCAAGCTCCACTTTGAAACACGGAGATTTGAGAGAACCACAGTGAAGCTTTTCTTCGCTGACTCGGTTCCTGTGACCTGTGCACAAGTGCCGAGAGCCAGCGTGTTGTGGGGCGTCTTCCTGTTGCCAGGCTACGTGGTGAATCTGGACGAGCCCCTCTCCTAGGAGTGTGTGTGTGTGAGCTTGACAGGGAAGTGGAAGAGGTGGGCAAGAAGGCGTAAGGAAGCACGTAACTTAATATGAAGGAGTGAGAGAGGCGTGGGGAAAAGGGAAGTGCTTTAGGGGTGAGAAAATGATGGCTCGGTAGAATAAGCACTTCCCTGGCAAGTGCAAGGTCCTGAGTTCAATCCCCGGTACCACAAAAACCAAACAACCAACCAACCAAACAAACAAACAAAAAAAAATGAAATCAGAAAATGGCTGTGAGATCTCCAGGTTTGGTACTGGGCTGCCACGGTGGTCTGGAGAGGAGAGGTCTGGAAGTAAATGAATGGAGGCAGGCAGGATACCTGCACAGGAAGCAGCGAGGCCCCAGGCAGGGGATGTGGGCACCGGCGGCAGAGGCATCCTGGAGCGCTCGGGTGCCCGCCTGGGTGGCAGCTGGGTGAGTTTCTTTCATTTTGCTTCCGGTGGGGTAACAAATTATTGTGACCCACTGGTGAATCTTCGGGTAACCACGGTGGGGAGGGTCCAGGCGTCTCCCTAGGAAAAGGATGAGATGTAAGGATGCAGATGGGGCAGAGGTGGCCTGGCCAGGGCGTGGCGGCAAGGAGAGGAGTGAGGAAAGGGAGGTGTGGGGGCGCAGGGGGACATGCTGGGGTGCGGGCGGGAGCAGAACCCTTTGGGCCTGTGGCTGACCGCAGGTGCCAGGCTCTGTTCTGATGGGGAGAGTGTGAGTATACACAGTTTTTAAGGCACAGAAGTGCTCTTTTAAGTGGAAGAAAATTCCCAGAAGTTAACTATGTGCTTTCCGTTCCGAGCATATGCAAAACAGTCTATAAATTATTAAATCCAACTATGCAGGTTCTTTTTCTCATGTTCAAATGTTACCAAATTTGTGGAAATCCTCATTTACGCTTTCCATAAAATTGAATCACAATAAGAGCTTTCTGAGGGCTGGGGAGGTAGCTCAGTGGAATAAGTGCTTGCCTGGTAAGTGCAAGGTCCTGAGTTTGATCCTTGGTACCACCAAAGAAAAAAGAAAAAAAGAGCTTTCTGAATGGTTCATTTCAAGCATAAGTCATAGTTGTGGATTCCTTTGCTTTTTTTCTGGTATCCTATTTACGTAAAGATGGAATGTAGCTACTTGAATTGCGGGTCCTATTTAATATTGAAAAACGATGAATATCAGATAATGATGTTTGGATCCACAAAGCTGTATCTTATCTCAGTGCCATCTCTAGCCATAGCTGTATGAGCTTCCCCTTCCTTCCTCCATGCTGTCCAGGTTCCTCCCCCATCGCCAAGACACCTTAGCCAGCACTCCCATCTGCAGGAGCAGAGGTTTAGCTTGGCTCACAGTTTCAGAGGTTGCAGTCCTTGGTCAGCAGGCTCAGCTGCAGGAGTGGTGGAAGGGCCTGGGTAGAGGACAGATGCTTGTAGCATAGCCAACGGGAAGCAGGGGAGCTGGGAGGACGCAGGAGGCAGATGCACCCTTCCAGGTCAAGTCCTCAGTGAGCCTTCCCTCCCCCACAACCAGGCTCCAGCTCCTAACAGCACATTCTGGTGTGAAGGAACCAGGACCTGTCAGTTCTGGGTCTAAACCATAAGACACATCCTGTCCCCTTCCAGCCGTGTGCACCCAGCCCTGGGTTCTCCTGTTTGTATGATGTGTACAACCATGTTAGGAGTTTACAGAGTTTGGACAAAGTCCTGCTCTGCCCCTTATTAGCTGTATGTCCTGGGAAAATACACTGAGCCACATTGAACCTGGAATTTTGTTTTCCTCTGTGAAATAGGCATGCAAATAGACCTTGGGTTGCTGTGAGGATTAAATGAGAAAATGTAGGAGCCAGTGAGATAACCAGTGGACTCAAGCACCTGCTAGGCAAGCTTAAGCAAGCACAAGGACCACAGTTTGATCCCTGGCACCACATGCTACCCCAGCCCTACCACCAGGGCAGTCTAAGTGGCAGTCTGAGTCAGCCAGAGTCTAGGTGTAGTGGTGCAGTCCTATAATCCTAGCACTGGGGAGGCTGAAAGCAGGAGGATCACCACAAGTCTGAGCTGCAAGGTGAGACCCTGCAACAACCAAATACACTAAAAAAAAAAAAAAAAAGATAATGTAGATGGATTTGTGGCTATGCTATGGATAGTAGAGGTGCAAGAAAACTTAAATATTTCATGTGAAAACAAATTGTAAGTGTGAGAATAATTTCTTTTAAAATCTAAATTCCTGCTAGGCGTAACAGTACATACCTGTAATCCTAGCACTTGGGAGGCTGAGGCAGCCAGTTGCCATGAGTTCAAGGCCAGCCTGAGCTACATAAGCAAGTTTAAGGCAAGCCTACACTATGTAGTGAGACTGTCTCAAACAAACAAACAAACAAACAAACCCCTGCCAAAACAAAACAAAACAAAACAAATTAAATTCCCTTCAAACTTTAAGAGGAAGAGATAACTTAGGGCCTATACCCTCCAATCAAAATTATACACTCCCTTACTTTCAGCTGTAAAGGTAAGGAAGGATTTGGGGTGCTCAGCTCTCTACGGCTAGGTTTGCCGTAGACTTCATCAGGTACAGTGTGTGTTTGAGAGATCAGAAGGGGGACCAAGGAGACCACTTGAGTGCATGGGAGAGGGCGGATGAGTCCCACAGTCTTACCAAAGTCAGTGTGGTGAGATTGAATGAAGTGGATGGACTGCAAAGCTTAGATGATGGGCTGACGATGAACCAAGGAAGAAGATGGAATCTAGGTTGACCCTAGGGTCTGGAGCAGGGGTAACTGGGTAAAAATACTTTCAAGATACAGAGT